AAACGTTACAAATGTTTGTAAGATCGAAGCAAGCTTGGCCGAAATTTTTTTTACCATCCTTTTTATGTTTGATGAAAAAAAGCAACTTTTTGGTTTTGTAAAATGCTTAGCGAAATATTTCGGCTACAGAAATCAACTAAGAACTTGGTTTCTATCTCTTACTGTTTCACTTATTGATTAACCGAAATTTTAGGTCTAGATCTAGACGTATTTGTGTTTTTTTGTGTTGTTGATTTCTACTTCGACACTCATGTTTATAATTGTAGAGTTGGTCCGGTTGATAGTAAATGGTGTATGTTCACGTTATGAAATCCATAATCGTAATTGAAATATTACTGGAGTTGCTGTGTATTTCGATGGTTCCATCCCACGAAGTTCAAGATCGAAGTAAGCTTAGTTTAAGTTCTTTTCTTCTTTGTTTTTCATATGTATTAACAATATTTAAACTTTTAATAAGCTGCGTATTTCGTCGATTTTGCTTAGAAATTATTTGTTTTCTTGCATGTTTATAGTGGCTGTATCGATAACTTAACGAGTAACATGATTGAATTAAACTGGAACTTTATTGGATTAAGTCTGTCATATAGATCATTCTACTGACAAATGCATTTTTGTTAATGATATTGAGCAATACGTGATTCCCTTCATTCATGACGAGAACTTTACACATTTTTTTTTGTTAGAAGCACTGGCGACTGAACATGAAATTTCGATTCTTTTCGTGATTTTATCACAAAATGCTGACTACGATGCTCGTAGAACTTCGGTTTTGTTCGATTCGCTGAAGAAACAAATTTCAGAAAATACAAATTTGGTAAAAACAACGTTTTTTATTTTGTAACACTTTTTTATTCTACTTTTTTCAGGCTTTCCCTTCTCATTTCTTATTTTATATCTTCTTCGGGGTTATTCCTGTCTCTTTCACTTTTCTGTCACGCATCCATTTTGGAAGGAGAAAATTGAGCTTGTTTGATGGTAAATAACCTTTCGACTTCATAGTTGGAGATCTTGTGGTTATGTTGTGATTGTGTCATACCCTCTGTTTATCTATATATAACTCAAGTTCCATTAATTGTTGTAGATATTCTGCAGAGGACAAAGTAGATAGCATGGCTGAGGTTCTTTGCTGATGAAATTGCGAAACCATACTCTTTTTGCCAAATGTATTATTTAAATTAAAATGTTATGGATTTCAGCATGCCGATATTCTGAAAACGCATGAAGATTTACCGGTAGTGACTGGAGTCTGGGCAGTTTGGCCGATGCTGAAAAGGTGGCTTCACTGTAGAGAAAAAGCAAGATAAAATATAATATTTATATTGAAGCGTCTTAAATGCCGATAATTTGCAGTTTATCTCGAAAATATAAAGAAACATCGTGGGATTGGTTATTTATCTGTGAGCCAGATACGATGGTGAATGTTAGCGCTTTGACCGAATACCTGAATTCTTTCGATCGGAATGTAGATCATGCAGTTGGACGAGGATTAACTGATAAAACGTAAATTCTTTAATTCTTATATTCAACTGTATACTTTACCTTTTAAAGCATAAGGCATTTGTAAAGAGCTGAGTTTGTGTATATGTAAGCAGTAACATATTAGTGATGACGATAACTTGAATTCTTGAAATCTGAAGAAAAACGCTACTGTATGATAAATTTAATCCTGAAAATTTTGAACTTCACTTAGAGTGTGTGTGTCATTCACTCATTATTTCGGCTTGTATTGGAAACTTTGGAAACTTTTCATACCTTCAATAAATTTTTTCAGGTACACAGTAATTCATCACTTTTTTAAGTATGAAGACGATGAGCAACATTTCTTCTATCCCGACTTTGCGGCTGGGCTAGCACTTTCGTGGACCTTACTCCGAGATACTGATGTCTTTGTTCGGGAAGGTTTCACTATCGATGCAAATTACGAGGTATATCCTTTATTCCTTTTCATCAGTCAGTTTTTCTGTTTCCTGCCGGTTTTCAACTTTTTCAAGTTCTGTTATTGGTTAGAAGACATGTGTTAAACTAATTTATTTATTTGTTCTTCATTTTTTTTCTTTTCCTTTTTTCATTATTTTTAATAGGATAGAATATTGAAAAAATCTAGATTGTAGCTTGCCAGACTATTGAAAGATAAACGTGGTGTCAGATTAAACAACACCCTGTCTTTCTGTCTTCTGGAACACGAATCGCAGTGTATTACTCGATATGTACAACCGAACTTCCAGGTTTTTTCTTTTTTTTTTTCTATTTTCTTAATTTCTCTTCATACCCTGTTCATGTGTCACCTATATCAATTCGTAGACTGAATGTCTTTTAACTGAGAAGAAATGATGTATTACAGAGAACAGCAGCATTTGTCGCTGTAATAGTAAAAAGTTATCGTAAGGGTTATCATCTCACATCAATGCTATTATTGATCAGTCTGTTGTCTCCTTTTTCAGTTTCTTTCACTGTTTAGGATATTACCGTTTTATGTTTTGGTTCTGTAAGTAAGTAATAATAAGGCTTAATTTTTCTAGAGGTGTAACTGTGCTTCTCAGCATCTTGTAAAACATTCATCTCTGAGCTCTGAATGTTGAATTGTGCAAGACAAACTAGCTCTTAAAATGAATCATTCTTTATTTCCCGATGATTAATATTAGTGATGTCCAATTAAAATTAAGTTAACTAAATCCGCAAATTTAGTGCATGAATAAAATAACCAACAATGATGTCTGCTTTGCAATCAAAACCTTCAGCGAATTCCATAAATCACGTATTGTAATTGTGAAACGAACTTGGGCGAAAACAGCGAAATTTGTAGAATATTTTAGCGACATAGAAGATCATTATGTACCAACTGTAAAGCTTGACATCCAAAATACAAAAAGAGGTATTTTCCTAACATAATAATAAATGATAATAAAATAATAATAAATGATAATAATAATAAAATAAAATAATAATAAATGATAATAATAATTTTGTCAAATATAATTAATGCTATTTCATTTGATGATAATTTTGTTACATTGTAAATAATGATTTATTTGAAAGACATTCTAAAAGAGTATATACTAAAGACTTTCTAATATAAAGGTGAGAACGTACCTTTGTTGGTGACTTTTCAGATAAAGTTCATCACTGGTACTTTCTTCTTGCCAAACTTTCCAGTAGCTAAATGTTTCGAAATCGGAAGTAAGAAAATCTAACCAAATAAAATAAGACATATCAGGACACTGTGGAAAAACATTTGGTATACTTGGATATTATTTGAAAAACGATGAAATGTTAAAAACAAGGTGGCTGGTGATAACAGATGACGATACATTGATAAGGTAAGTTTTGTTTTCCATCATACATATATTTATAAACATTTTTTTCTTCCATTTCGAATCTTATATACTAATGACCGAAATACATGCTATTCAAAAATTTGACTTTCACGTTTAACTTCCACTTCATCCCTTTTGTTTATTTCTTCATCATTGGTACGGGAATCTTATTAGTAAGTTTACAGTGTTCCAAGGCTATATGAACTTTTATCTTGCTATGACGCAGAGAAGGAAATAATTATCGGTGAAAGATATGGCTATGGTTTTAGTGCTGATGGTCGTGAAGGATATGATTATCCTACTGGTGGTGCTGGGTAAGTTCTTACCATCATTTATAAGATATTAATAGTCAATAAGGTGATAGGCTAAAAGTTGAATTGCAGGATGATATTTTCGCGAAAAGCCGTGGAAAAGATTACAACTTTCTGTGGTTGTCCGAGTACCGATTCACCTGACGATATGATTATCGGTAAGTGCTTTTGGATATCTTTACGGAAAGCTTTGAACTTTAAATCTGTGAATTATAAGTTTAAATTTGCATTTCACAAATTTAAAGTTCAAAATTTTCCATTTGTCTAATTTAAGCGAAACTTCAAATTCCATCACTTTTTGCATGAATTTCAATTTATAAATAATAATTACCTTTCTCAATATCTTTTATATATGCTTGTGGATAGTATTCTTTACGTGTGGTTATGGATACAGAGTTGTATGACGAGGTATTCACCAAAGCGTAGTATTTAACGTTAAATTGAGGCTTAATATCTCTCAGCATATCATTCTTCGTTATGCAATGTTAATCGATATTGATAATGTGATCTTTGAAATCGGAAATTGTAAGGATTGCTAATTTCGAAAAAATACGCAGTTTATGCATCCGATTTTATTCTATTCCTTATCTGACTTTATGTCGATAGTTTATCTGACGAGTTTGCCATTATTTTCAGGAATGTGTGCACGTCGTCTTGATATTCCCATAATTCACTCCGCAGCTTTTCATCAGGCTCAACCAAACGATTATTCAGAGTTGTACCTCAAACGAATACGGTCTATATCATTTCATAAGTTCACGGATATTGATCCATATGAAGTTTACATGGAACGCCTACATGAAGCATCTGCTCAAATAGCTAGTCGCCCAGTACATTCCGAGTTATAAACAAGCATGTGTACTTGTTGTAAGAAGTTGTATATATGTGCATATTTGTCCTTTAGTCTGTATTTTCAGTTCAAAATTGAGAAAAAGAATATGGCGATGTGATGGGAAGATTGAGTTCAGTAAGCATATATGAGTACGGCAGTTATTATCGTGCATCCAAATGTTCTCGAGAAATTAGCTTTACGGCATTAGAAATTTTTAATAACTTTAATATTAATCATCGGATTCATCTTCTAAAACTCCTTTTAGATGATGTTTGAGGGGCGTTCTAACAAAGATAACTGTGGTAAACAGGACAAACTTGTTCCTAGAAATCTTATTTTATACCACCACTTTTTTAGAAGGTGCTTGAAAAGGCGTTCTAACATATCCATCGAACTCTTCAAGCATCTTTGAATCCTTCAAACATTTGCTTTGTTGTTGTAAACTAAATTTTCCAGGAACGGTTTTCTTTTACCATCATTGTCTTTAAAGAACATTTATGCTTTAGTAAATCGTTAAATTTTTATAGCATTTTAAGAGAAGTATTTTGACTATGCTATGCTAATTTGACCATAATTGCAAAGACCTGTTTACAGTTTTTTCTCTTTTTTTTTTGGTCTGACAATTCATCAGTAAAGCATACTGTGAGGGCGCTATTTTTCTTAAGCTGTTTTCATTTTTGTTGCTTGCAAAAGTTATGTTTTGAAATCTATGTGGTGCATTTTTTTAACTAGTTTTTTGTTGATTTTGTTCTGAACGGGTATTCCTGATCCATTTAGTCATGAATTATTCTTTATGAACAATTCTTACGTTGATCTTACTTCATATTCACTGTAATCTTGATGTTCATGTATGAAATGATGAAGCCAAATTATTGTTTACCTAATGATTGACTCATGGAACTAATGGTGACTTACCGTTTCAACATTTTTCATATTTTGATAATGTTTAGAACCATCGAAAAAAAGAAAGTGACTTTTAAAACATTCGCTGAGATTTTTTTGAAGTTGAGTAGTATGATAGATGTACGTTTTATGCTTTATATCTACACATTTTTACCTGTGTCGCGTACATTTTGATTAAAACTTTATTGGGAAGGGCAAATTTTTCATTTTAAATTTCTGTTTGCAGTAGCACACGATGCGAACAGCAGTTTTCCCGTCTCGGCTTATTGTTTTTTCCAGGTCACCAAGCAGATATTGTCAAACAGTTCAAACGGGGCCACCGAAGGAGTAAGTTTCCTCATTTTTGAACTTTGTCATCGAAAGTTCTGTTGCAACCATATTGTAACCATGGAAGAACTTAAGTTAATTTTAGTAAATAAAATTTCCAAGCCAAATTTGATTCCATTATCAAAGTTCTGTATCCATTAGTTACACCCGTCATTAATTGACTACTCTCCATTTTTTCCGTGCTAATTTTTACTATTAGCCCTTATCAGTCAATTGAGTCGGTCTGAATGTGCATTGCATGATTTATTGGACATTTATATCAACGAAAGAAATAATTTTCTTCCCTAAATTTGATTCTGATTATAATATTCTACCGTATGATTTTTTTTATGTGAATATAAATCTGGGCATTTCTTGACATGGAAAAGATCATAATTTCTGTGAAAAAAAGCATATATGTTTTTCTTAAAGAATTGTATTTTAATTTTAATTTTAAAACTTGTTTTTGATGATTTTTTTTCCAGAGATAAGTATGAGATGTTCCGTAAATTAAACGAATATGCCAGTTCTGGATTGTGGGATGATAGGTACAATAAGCCAAGATTATTTCTTTTCGGCAAAAATCGACAAAAAGCATATGAACTTCATGATAAAATGGTTTGTTTTGCCTTCAGGACCGGAATAAATTTGTTAATTATCCGTTGAAAAATTCACTTTCCGTTGAGAATCTTTTGCATCCTTTCATAGAGAAACTAGTAAATTTAGTTATTTGCCAGAGAAGGGAAGGGTTATTTTTTTTGTGGAGTTGGCCAATCTTTTGATTTTTTCGATGTGTACTTGCGTAAAAGCGATAATTGGTACTGATCTTAATAACTTATAGTGAGATTTCCAATTATCAATATGACGAAATTATCGGTAGACCTTGCATCTGTACTTGTTCTATATCTTTTTCATGTCCATAGCTATCAGTGACAAAGAATTTCATTTTACTTATAATTACTCAGTTTAATGCTTAGATATATTACAGACACCGAAAACAGATCCATTTTTTAAACGATCACCGTATGGGGTGCACTTGGAGGTAATGTATCGTTTAAGTCTGGGAATTGCTGCCATAACGATTATTTGCTCATTGTATGTTATGTTGATTCCCGAAGAAAAACGCCTAAAATACAAATATCGCAAAGAGCATCATTCTTCTGGTGGAGAACATAACTGATCCAAAGATTTTCAATAATTTAGCTAATTTAATTTATAGGATAAATTTGCTACCTCACTGTCATCTGAATATGAATTATAATTTCACTCAGAAGTAAGCAAGATTAGGAATTGTAAATATGGATGTGATGTCATTGTAGGATATCATCGCAATAAGTAATATTATTTAAACTATTTTATTTATTGACTTTAGAGGAAGTTTATTTCTCTAAAGGCACTGTTTTAATTAAAGATTTGTCGAAAATTATATATCATTGGCAGTGTGATTGTAGTAACAGTGTGAATGCATTTTGAATTGTCGCTGATGAAGCATTTGCTGATCTTGAGAGTTTGCTTGAATAATTTAGTTTTTACCTTTGACATGTGGTTGCACGTTATGTTCTCATTAAACTTTTTTTTTTTCTTTTAACTGAATTTGAATATATACGTAACATGTGGTCGTTGTGTACAAAATATCAGAGCAACTGCTGAGGGCTATATTGATGACACTTTTTTCCCTCAGGAGACTACAATCGTAAGCATGTATCGAAGTTGGAATAAGTTGTGAAATTGTACTTGTAACAAATAAGAGATGTAATAATATAACCAATTCACAATAATACATTTAAACAATATTTAGAAATCATTGGTATGCAAATTCTAAGGTATTTTCGAGCTATATAAAAGGTATAATCTTATCGTACACTAATAGTTTTGATTATTTCAATAAAATGATGGTAGCTGATAACACTTCTCAAATGTGGGCAAATACGAAAGAAATCGATATCAATGAGTGTGGTTTGGTGTAACATCTTTGATAGTAATGGTCATAAAAAAAAAAAAAAAAAACTAAAAGGTTGAAATGAAGTGTAACATTATCGTTTCAATTAAACGAATAAACAGTTTCATAGTCGTTTAAACAAAAATTTAAAAAAGAAAAAAAACAAAATAAAATTTCTGCTAGGAAAGTTTCTAACAGTGCAAGAAAAAACGAAATTCTACCAGTAAAAATTTG